ATGCTAATTAATAACAGTTTGGCTGTATCAAGAAGTATTTGGCTAATACCATACAACTTGTGGGTAATACTCTTAGTGCAAAAATATTCTAGAAGGAATTAAGAGACTTGGGAAACTAAATATCATCTTCCTTTATAATTCAAATGCCATGCAGAAAATCTGATACATTCTTATGACCTAGGAACACATTGATGTTTACCTTTTATGTCTAACAGTTTCAAATACCGGTGCTTGTACTCATATTAAAGAAAGTACAACTGATCAATGTTTGGATATCTGGGAAAAAATTCCTAACGATATTTTCATTTGCATAGCTCTGCTACTCTGGAAATAAAGAGAATTGAGATTTCCTGACACTATAAGGATCTCATGGCAGAAAAGAAAACAGGGTCTCCCAGGTTTGACAAGCACTCCTTAATGAACACAAAGAAGGAGGAAGACAGAATTACTCTATCTTCTCCAACTTAAACAAAAAAGCACAAAATAGAAGTAAGTGATTTGGAGTCAGATCCGGGTTGAGGTCCTGGCTGTGTGATTCTGGGAAAAACCACTCAACATCATCAGACCTAAGTTCTTTCTCAGTGAAACAGCTGTAATTTCATCTGGTAACTTAGTTATAAGGCTGTCATGAAGGTCAATTAAGATGATGTACTTCAAGCTACTTTGTAGGTTGCAGAGAACATCTAATCAGGTTTTTCAGCGTTGGTACTGAATAATTGGGCTGGATAATTCTTTGTTGTAGGAGGTACATATAGCACCTGACAGTTGTAAACTACTATTCTTTCCCCTTTTATCTCTATCCCATATCTTGTATTGTATTAGTTATATTGCCACGTGTGTGTATATACGTATTTGTTCTTAATGTTTATCCATAAAGACCTGGACTAAAATTATACTGTCATTTGTCTAAATTTTCCTGATTCCTGCAAACATTTAAGGAAATTACAGCTCAGCAGTATGTTTAAACATTGCCACTTCTTTAGTCAAGAGTACTATTCCTAATACAAAGCACTTTTCAGTATGGAGATAAAATGTACTTTGTTAATTTCTACAGTGCCCAGACTCAATATATAGAAATTATGTGAAAGGTTAACTCTATTTGTTGAATAGCAATAGTGATGATGTTGTAAAATAAGGAAATATTTTGATAACCAGTGAAAGATTATCTATAAAGACAAAACGACACTTAAGAATTGCATAATTTGTAATTTTGTATCCTAGTTACTAGCCACTGGAGATGCCCAACAATGGTTTGTTCATTTATTAAATAAACACATATTTAATAAATACTATGTTAACATGTTCAATATGTGGAGTACTGAGCCAGCTACTGCTGATTCAATCAATAACCACCACCAACAAAAATAGTAAGAAACAAAGACATGGTCTCCGCCCTTAGAGTTTTCCACTTAGTAAAGTTTAGCACAATCACAGGCAAAGGACAGTATGCTGAAGAATTCATCCAACTCAAATTCAAGAAATGTGTGTGGAAAATACTGTGTGTTTCTTTATCAAGATTTTGGGTAAAGAGGTGGAGGAAAACCTAAAATGTAAGGATAAATGATGATTTTCATAGCATGTATTAACTAATATTGAAAGTCTAATCAATATTTAAGCTTCTATGGGAAAAAGTGATTTGTATTCATCTATGAAATGATCACCATAAGAAATAAAATCCGTTTACCAATTTAAGACAGTAAAAGTACCATTTCCTGTTAATGTACAAGAATCAGAATTGACCATTTATTTTACATGATTCTTTGGTAAGATACCGTGCAAAGCAGCACATCTCATTTAGTTTGACTTTGTTTTGTTTTCTAAGTTAAAGCAAAATGTGATTTAGCAACTGCTTCTCTCAACTTCCTATTCACTTGCTACCAACAGAAAGAGGCTGGGATAGAAAACCTAGAGGGATCCCAAAAAGTAGTAACCAGGGAAGGAAAAGAACCAAGGACAACACAGCATTTTAAACAGTTGCTTCCTCTTTCTGCTGGGTGCAAAAAAGGTCTGAGTTTAGCTCATGTGGTCACTTAAAGGAGAGAGGAAGCTGGTAGATTTCTGGGTTGGTGTTCTCCTTTCTGAGAAAAGACTTATTTTTTTTCTTCTATTTTATTTCATTATTAGAGATCTGAGGTATCTTTTTAAGACTGCTTCAGAAATGTTTTCAATCATCTCCCTAATCACTGCATGCAAGGTATCTATTTTCATGACTTGTAAAAATTGGAGCAAGAAGCATTTTAAAAGTACCAGGGATCATTATTCCGGTTCCACAGCTATAGACCAACTCAGATGGTCTATGATACCTGATATGACGATCTCAGGGACATCCAGAATGTTGCCAAATGAAGCAGTTTTACGGTGGCCCCGTTTAGGCTTGGAATAGGCTGCAAAAACACATATATACAGTATACATGCAAACAACCACAAATAGTAACACAGAAAAAGACTAACTACAAAAACAGACAAATTTTCAAATAGTTACGTTAATAACATTTCATGCAGAATGGCATGCAGAACTATCGAACTTTTCGTTCATGCTTAGAAAAGGCGTGATTAAAAAGCAAACAACTACCAAATAAATATAAGATGTTTCACAAACTGGTTTTAACAGCAGGAAAAAATAAATAAAAGAATCAAAGCTGCAGGAGAATGAGGAAGTAAAATTTCAAATGTGTTCAAAGTACTAGTCTACCTAAATGAAACTACTGGTATGCGACAGGGCTTGAGGGAGGAAGGAGGAGAAGGAAGAGAGGAATTAAAAAGAAATAGGCTGCCAAATTTGTTTTAATTACACAAAGGAATATGTGTATGTGTGTGTGCATTCAAGTTAGGTGTTTCTGGATGTGTGCTATAAAATCGAATTCAATGACTAAATGATAATTATTGAATCAAAGTATAAAATATATATGCTTTTGTAATTATAAGTTCTTATATATATTTCTAGTAAACTACATATTTACTATACTTTCCAGAACTAAGGGTACATTCACAGTAAAAATGAAGGTATTAAAAGGCTGGAGAGAATAAATCTTTTCAAGTAAAGCAATTTGCTAAAAAATTTAGATTGTGTAAAATTCAACAGCATTTTTTCTATATTTAGGTAAGAAAGGATAAGTAATTTTAGTGTGTGACTATCTTTATTCTAGTGAAATATCACTTCTATAAAAAATAATAAGCCAGGTGCTTGACTAGGAAAATGATACTAGAAAAAGAGATAAAAATATTATTATAATATTATTTTGTTTTAGAATAGTAATTAGTTTTGGCAGATCTTGAATAATACCCCTGAAGTGCAAAAAGTTCCTCAAGCAAGAGGGTATGTCCCTGGGTAGCATTCACCAGATACTACATTGAGATAACTGCTCTAAAGCAATACTTATGACTCATGGAGACTCATGGGTTTGTCAGTGGCTGGTGACTTCCACTCAATTTGGTTGTTTCTGAAGATCCATTTGCAGCAGAGATTGCTATCCCCTGCCAATCTCTGTTCTTCTCTTCTGTCTTAGAATAGCACTATGATTTTACTTAGGACAGAAAAATTCCCAGATGAAAGACAGCAGATGCCCTTTTCCCTTGGAGCTATGTGTAGCCATCTGACGTTACTCTGGCCAATGACATGTAGGAGCTGTTAGGAGGGACATTTGGGAAAGCTCTTTCAAAGAAATTGAATGTACTTTCACCCTCCCCTTATTTCTTCCTTCCTACTGGCTGAAATATAAAAGTAATGACTGAAATGATGACAATCGTTTTGGACCACAAGGTAACCTGTGGACAGAAGATACGTAACAGGGATTGTGGCACGGAGATAGGAGACCAGCAGCCTGATGACCATGGAGTCTACCTCCAGACATGCTTATATGTGAAATCTAAAGCTTATGTATCATAGACACTGTTATTTTGAATATTCTGTTATATGTAATGGATTCTAATGCTAGCTGATAAAATCAGTGATTATGATTAGTTGAAGGAAATATAGTATGATGGCTCATCTTGACAAATTCTTTCTGAAAGGAGCTATACACACATTGAGACAATTCTATCTAGTAAAAACAAAGAAAAAAAAGCAAACAAATAAATGAGAAACAAACCTGAAAAAATAAAACTTAGTTAGCTAAGTTAAAAAAAATGAGATACACATGTATACATACGTAAAGACTACAGGTAATACACAAAAGTGGTTTATCTCTGAGTAGAATAATTTTTTTTTCCTGCTTGTTTACATTTCTACATTTTCCTCAAATGAAATGTGTTTACTTTTATAATCAGCTCCTTACATCCCTGGGGATAATCAGACCAAAAAAACCCTAACCAAATTAAATTGGTTTACTAAAATAAAACCTGGTTAGAAAAGAAGGTTGCCAATTTATTTAGGTTAACAAAACATGTAACTGCTGACCAGTTCTTCCATGATTAATAATTTTAGAAACTGACAAAATGGAATTTAAATATTACCTTTTCAAGATCCAATAAAATGATCTTTTATAATTAAAAAATTAACCACAATCAGCATTATTTTTGTCACTGGAAGGAAGGAGGAACAGGTAGTGAAGTTCAATTATATTTGGATCTGGAATACATTTTTCTACTAACTTCAGAACAATGTATTTGCTATTATTTGAGTTCAGAACAAAAATCTAGTAGAATCACTCAAATTCCCTAAAACATTTTAGTTATGGCAAAATTTCAGTTTCTCACTTAGATTTTCAGCTTATGTTTGGGCAGAAACAATTACATTTGATAAATCTGTAACCAGGAAGGCATATTTTCTAATCCAAGTAATTTTATAAGTCATATCTTCCTTACTTGGAATTTGAGATAAATGCATAAATTGTTGCTAGAAGCTTAGAAAAGTATATTGTAAACCTTCTTCCTGCTTAAACACACACACACACACACACACACACACACACACACAACCTCTGACATCCCCATGGAAACCATTGAAACTACGATGCCTGATGCACATGTTCACTCTCTTTAGACTTGTGGTTGCTTTTCACCTGTGGTCGCAGCGATCCTAGCTTCTATTTCAGACATGTCAGCACTCATCCTCTTGCCCTCAGAGGTTGGGGGCAAGCTCTCCACGCTGCTCCCACGGGAAGCTCCCAAGCTTAAACGTCCAGATTCACTCTGCTGAAATTACAGGTCAGGCAAAATTAATGAAGTTCTTTAGATTTAGAAATCTTGGGCAACCTAGAAGGAGGAAGATGTCAAGTGGGGTTCTATGGCTCCTGTTCTGCTCTGAAAGGATGGGAGGTCTGAGAGAAAGGGACAGCAGGGGCTAAGGGAGCGCAAGCTACAGGTTCTGCCTCCAAGAAAGGACAGTTGCCAGAGTCGGGAGTTATCTTAAATGCCTCAGGCAAGACCAGTAAAATCACCCCACAAAATATTTTTAAACGATGGAGGAAATACAACAAATGTGAACAGCACGACAGATTTAGGACAACTCCTTTAACTGGGGAGTGTAGCCAAAAATATACCCATTTTACATTTTTAATCACCAACCATTAAAGTGAGAAATTATCACAAAGAGAAATTTACAGAGTTGGTCAAGGCAGCAATCATAAATAGGGAAAACAATTTGATGGGTAGTAAGTGGTAGGAAAATCTCATCATATGTCTGTATTCTTAAGCCTATCTGTAAGCTTCAGGAAGCAGATTCAGAATTTATAAAATAGAAAATGGTAAATAATTAATTTCAGTTAGTAAAATGCTATGACTACTGGTAAGGTTACCAAACAAATTTTACTTTTAGTAACATAACAAACCTGCTGCTTTGCCTGATTTTTCAACAATTTTGATTCTAAGCGTTTAATAGTATCATTTGTGGCAGGAACTTGCTCCATATTAGTGTCACTTTTATTACTGGTATTTGTAGAAGCGATGTCCATGAATGAGCCTAGGGAGGCAGAAACATTTATGAGTATAGGGTGGGAATAATACAAATGCTTCATTCAAAAATATGTAACTTACATTCTTTTATAAACTAGCAAGACATGAGTAGAAATAAGACTTTTCAAGCTAATGAAGATACTCAAGCAAACCCATTTTAAATGAAACTTAAGGACAGACAGGACCAAGATGTGTAACAGTCTTCTAATAGTCAAGAATATCTTAAGGTTTTTAGCCTGAGCTAGTAGAAGAACTGAGGGCTATTAACTGAGTTGGGGAACACGAAGGAGGAGGAGTGAGTTTAAAGAAAGTATCAGGAACTCAGTTTGCAAAATGTTAATTTTGAGTTTCTTTTTTTTTTGAGTCTCACTCTGTCGCCCAGACTGGAGTGCAGCGGCCACTCCTGCCCACCACAGCCTCGACCTGCTGGTCTCCGGTGATCCTTCCGCCTCAGCCTTCCAAGTAGCCGGAATTACAGGCATGCGCTACCACGCCCGGCTGATTTTTTTAAAAAATTTATTGTAGAGATGAGGTCTTGCTGCCCAGGCGGGTCTCGAACTCACGGGCTCAAGCAATCCACTCACCTCAGCCTCCCAAAGGCGCAGGATTACAGGCTGAGCCACCGAGCCCGGCTAAGTTTGAGTTTCTAATCAGATATATATAAGGCAAGGAGTTGGATATATGAGTATAGAGGCCAGGTATGGGGTAGAGAAAAACATCACCAAATAGACAGTATATAAAGCTAGGACACTGGGTAAGGTTACCAAGGAAATGAGCATCCACAGATGAGTGAAGAAGCCAGATGACTGGGCCCTGGACACTCTGACATTACAGGTTGAGGAGATGAGTACAATAAGCAAAGAAAACAGAAAAAGTGGTCAGAGATAAAAGATGAAATCTAGACTGGCATGGTGACTTGAAGGCCAACCGAAGAAAGCATTCTAAGGAGAGCGTAATAAACTGTGTCACGTGCTATTAGAATTAAATTAAGATGAGAACTAAAAAGCATTCCATTCCTTGTATTTAGTAATGCAGAAATAACTAGTGACCTTGACAAGAACGATTTTGGAATAGTGGCATACTATAAGTCTGAATGGAGTAGGCGCAAGAGAGACTGAGAAGAGAGAAGTTACAGAGTGCCAATATAGACTAGATGTTCTGGGAATGATCCCAGCAGAAAGGCTAAAACTGATGCAAGAGGGGGAGAAAGTTTTGCCTTCAGCTAAAAGCATGAATAGTTCAGTCAGAGTAAGAGAGGAAAATACAGTGTAGTGGGCACAGATGTTCTGGAAGCTGTCTTCTCACTACTCCAATTTTCTCAGAGAAAGAACACACAAGGTCTGCTGAGAGTGAGGAATGAAGAGGATGAGTTTGACGTTGAGGAGAGGTTAATGTATAAACTTAAGACATCTAAGAGAAGAGATGCGCTAAAAATGGTACAACTATCCAACAGCACTAAGTACACATTTGAGGATAGTAAACATGTGCTATCTCCATCCATATTCAACTGCACTGGTACAGGCAAGGAGTAAGCTGAGTGCTGAATTTAATCAGGCTGAGAGAGAGACTAGAAAGATAAAATTTATTCCCAAAGGAATTATAACAGCTGACTGGAGTTAATAGGAGGGAGGAAGGAAGACCTAAGAGGACTGAGGGTCAGTGAAAAGGTAGAAGGCTCAAAGGACTGAAGGTCACAGTACAGAAATGAAGAGAGGATGTGAAGTAAGTGGGAGAAGCAAATGACAGAATTCTAGAGAAGTTCATTTTAGAACTCGGAGCAACTGAAAGCTACAAGACTTTCAGTCAAATTAGAATTTGAGAATAACTAGCCAAATAATAAGGCAGCTTAAAATAAAAAAAAATACTATTCTTGACGTAGGAGAAATTGATCAGCAAAAATACTGCCAATAAGTGCAGGGTATACATATGTGCGGATATGTGCACATATACCTTTTTTTTTTTTTTTGAGTTGGAGCTTCACTCTGTCGCCCAGACTGGAGTGCAGTGGCCGCTCCTGGCCACCGCAGCCTCGACCTGCTGGGCTCTGGTGATCCTTTCGCCTCAGCCTTCCAAGTAGCTGGAACTACAGGCACGCGCTACCACGCCTGGCTAGTTTTTGATTCATTGTCGAGATGAGATCTCACCAAGTTGCCCAGGAGGGTCTCAAACTTGCGGGCTCAGGCAATCCACTCACCTCAGCCTCCCAAAGCGTGGGATTATACAGGCTGAGCCACCGAGCCCGGCTCACATATACCTTTAGTTTTGATTAAATTAATAATGAAATGCTTACAACGCCATTATATTCTGAGAAGTACAATATTTCTAAGTTACAGAATTATTTGTTTTTTTAAAACCACAAACTACATAGTCCACTACTACTTTATATTTTAGAAAACTGAGGCATTTTTAACCAAACATACTTTCTTAAATAAGAGTCTCAGTAGAAGAGAACCAAAAAGTAGGACATTCATTATGAAGAAAAATGTTATATACATTTACCATAATTTTTAATACTACTTGATCTAGCAGTATCCCCATAAAAACTATTTTTCAAATTAAGAATGATATTCATAGCAACATAATTTGCAATTTTCTTATACATAACTAAGCAAGAATTCCAAAACTTGGAAGCAGGTCTTCAATAACTCTTTAATATGGGTGTCTTCATAAAGAATGATGCATCTGCACATTGCAGTCAATCATGTGAAATGAGGAATTAAAATGCAAATGGCAACATCATTCATTGTTTCTTGATCATAATTTCATGGGAATAGAGACACAAAAAAATCTTCCAATCTATCTATTCACCTGTACTGGTGGCAGAGTTGCTCTGTCCTTCATCTGAATACTGACAAGGATACTGTAATGGCTCATCTGCTCCTGGAAAGTACTATATATAAGAAAATAAATCACAGCTTAAAATTTCTTTTATACAAATTAGATCCTGTTAAAATTAACTTGAAGAGTACATCTGAATTATTCCCTTGTGGGATTTAATTATAGCAAAGTAATGGTTTATTTTCCCTAAGGTATATACTGAAATTGTAGATGCCTATTTTTTGATTTTACAAAGATAATGATAATGCGTTCTTTTTTGAATTTCAGCTAAGATCAACACCATGCACCTACCTAAGAATCTAGTTTATATTGGAGTCTACAGATAGTCTTGAAGAGAACAGCAAATATTTTTCTAGAGAAATATATAAAATAGAATAGTATCATTCCTCATAATTATATGAAACAAATTTATGTTTTCATAGAAGTGATATAAACTTCCAAATTGCTGCAATGATTGTTAGTGTGACAACTGAGACTATAAACCATAGAATAATTGTTAAAACTAATATTTTAATTATCTATATAGATTATGCATGATCTTTTACGAATTGGAGACGTGTTGAAATTATTTGCTGGACAAAAAGTTTAGAATGAAGGGGACAAAAAAGAAGGTATTCTCCTCAAATTTAACAATGCACATATAAGAACAATTACAACTTGAACATTTATATATCTCAAAGGTTTAAGTTAACTGGCTATAGAAACTAAGTTGTCTTCTTATACACACACCTTTAGGGCCATAGTGTTCTATGTAAGGCTAGTATCCAAATATAATGGTAAACTTTAACCAGATTAGTTCAAGTTATTTTGTAATTTTCAATAGAATGAACAATCTTTCACTATTTAGGAAATCACTAAGTTTATATTTCAGGAGCATTTAATAGTCTTCTACTAAACAAATTGTTCTGAAATTCAGGTGTTTTCATAGATACATGCTTTTTAAAGCCAAGATACCATTTGACATCTGTTAGTGTACCAAAAGCTAGAGGCCTAAAATACTTCAAATATATCGAAAAGTATTTAATTTAAAGAGTAGGAAAATTTGATAATCATTTCTAAAGGGTTCTTCTAAATTAAAATATACTATAAATCCCAGAAGAAAGTTTAACTTTTATTGGCAACAGGAAAACCTGAAAATATGCAACCAAAAACCCAAATAAAAATCACTCAAATAAATATGTCTAGGAATGCAACCTTTTTACTGTCCTGAAAAAATGACTGAATACTTGAAGATCTGTATCAGACAATTTAAAATTAGTTTAGCTTACATTGGAATTATTCTGAAATTTTGTAACTACTTAAGAGACCCTATAATTCAGTTTCTCTCACATTAGACATGAGACAACAGGCCCAGAAACAAAAAAACAAAAAACAACAAAAAAAAGCCAGTCTGGAAACCTAGTCTAGCTATCTTCCCATGATAAAGAACTAGATTCCCCTACAAAGTAACATTTCCTCTTCTGACTGTAGGAGTAAAAAACGCCTTGTATAACTTAGAAAATGCAGAAAAGTATAAAGCAAAATACAGTAATATTATCCCCTTTACTTTAAAATTCCATTAAAGCTGTGTATATTAAATTCTCCTAAATCCAAAGTCCCTCAAAAGAAGGATTATACCCGCATCAAGTGAGTCATAATCTTCACGATTTCCTCCATTGAAGGGCGCTGAGAAGGATCTTTAGACCAACAACGAGTCATCAGGCTCTCAATAGGCTTAGGTAAATTTTTGATCAGTGGTGGTCGAGTACCTATAATTGAAAATTAAGTTGGGGGGAGAATGTATTTACACACAAAAAATGGTGTGAGCTTTTTACATGTATTTCATAAGCAGTATTTATTTTACAGATCTTGTAATTTAAAGCCTATAATTTGGAGTAATAGAAGTACTTTGTAATTTTATCAATTAACAAGTTAGTTCTTTTATTCTTTACTGACATTCAATTATTTACTAGAAATTGACAGAGAAAGAAAGCAAACTGTCTTTGTTAATGTTCTAACATTCTCTACAATGACACTGAAAGGTCAATATTATTAAAGGCAGTATAGGAAACTGAAAAAAAATCCCCAAAACCAGCAAAGATTACTTAGATGATGGTACTGGTTTGATAAATCTATGAATGGTCTAAATAATTAGGCAGACAATTTGTTTTTGTCATGTGGAATAATGTATAAAAATGCCATTAAGAGAATGATTATAAAAGCACATAATAGAAATAACCAAGAGTGATACTAAAGTTAAGGTGGTTAATTAATTTTCCTTCATGAAGAGCTTATTTTCTCAAAGCAAATGGAAAGTAACTTTATTAATGAAGGGGATGTATTCTAACATCATATGTGGTTAAAAACATCATTACCAGAGGCATAAAAGGAATAGGAGAGATACAAGGACGCTGCATCCATAAATCAGTATGATTTTAAAAATATGAGCATTCAAATTTCAGCTGTACCACTTAACTAATCTTAGGACCTTGAGCAAGTATTTAACCTCTCAAGGACTCAGTTTCCTAATCTGCAAAATGAGGCAGTAGTATTCACCTCATAAGGATGGGTGAGAATATAAAAAAGGAAGGACAGGTAAGGCACTCTGTGTTTTGCCTTTATGAGCTTTTTTTTTAGATTAGAAAATGTAGTTTATTTAGAAAGTAAATTGGAGAGACAGAAAGAGATTCACCTCCCCAAGTTAGAGAAGGGAGCCAAAGCTTAAGAAAACATGGCCCCCTTCAAAGAGCACATGGCCACACCATAGCTTAGCCAGGCAACGGTGATGAGTGTGGCAATGGCCGCCTTTATGAGCTTTTAAGTAACAACTCATTATTACTTTTTGCTGTTTCTTCTTGACAAGACCCTTGCTTCCTCAGGAGAAAAAGGCTATAGCTCCCCAATCATCTTAACCACGTAAGACATTTTACATATGTATTTATTTTTTCCTACAGATTCTAGTCAGATACTTCTCTATTCCCAAGAGAGAGCCAACCTACACAGTGATGACTTTTCCCTAATCAGCACAGCTAGCAAACATCCTCAGTCCCATGTGGAGGCCAGGATAGCTCCCAATGCTGTCCTGCTGGACTTTGGGACAAGGAGAGGGTTAGAGACTGATAATAGGAAAGTAGCTTGGTAAAAAAAAATTGTTCTTTTTAATGTTAGAGACAATTGTTTTTTCAGTAGGGAGACAAAAACAATCTTCTTAATAGGAAATACACAAAATACCTTCAAGAAAAATTTATTTTTACGAACCGTTATGAACAGCCCACATGATTCTGAAAGCTGGGCCACCAATCTCATCAAAGGGTTTCCGACGTGTTATCACTTCCCAGAGAATAATACCCCAGCTGAAGACATCACATTTTTCACTGTAATTACTACCTAGAAAAAAAGGGTAGCATAATTTCAAGACTTTTTTCCATATGACTTACAGAACAACTGCTTTCATAAATCTTAAGAATGTGTCTTGGACAGAAACAAGAGGTTGTCACAAATAGAGCTAAAAAATTACTTTTTGAAGTACTTTAAATATTTTCAACAAATATATTTTTAAATGAATTAAATATCAACAATACACCACACAATCTACTTCAGAAAGTTGGTCATTTTCATCAAGAGGCATAGGCCTTGTCTTTTATATATTTAGACTGACACTTCTCTGGAAAAGTATGACACATATGTATATTCCTTTCTGTAATATTTTAATCTTAAATTTTCTCCCTGTTCTCTGATGGATAGCACTACTCTGCTATCAAAGTAGAACTTTCTCAATAATTATATTTATAATAATAAAATAATATTATTTTATTATAAAAAGTATTTATCTCAATGAGGTAAAATTCATAGATTACAAACTTAAACATCAATTTTAAGTAATGAAAATAAGAGACAACAAATTTATAGCAAACAGATTATATAGTAAAATTTATATTTATAGAACTACTAAACTGATGGGTGGATCAGTCAAAATAAACAGCCAAAACCAAAACCAAACCCCTCCTAAACCAAAAAAATCTAACCCCCCAAAATAAAAACCCAACCTACTACAAGAACGAGCAATTATTATAGAAATAGCTTTCTTTTGTTTGTTTTTGAGTTGGGGGTCTCTGTTGCTCAGGTGGGAGTGTAATGGCATGATCAAGGTTCACTGCAGCCTTGACGTCCTAGACTCAGGGGACTCCTCTTCTGCTCTACTTTCCAAGTAGTTGGGATTATAGGTGCATGCCACCATACCTGGCTAATTTTTTGATTTTTTGTAGGAGGTGGTTTCCCTATGTTGCCTAGGCTTACCATAGTGATAGGTTTACATATTAACTAGTACACTGTAACATAGCATTACAACAATGTTACAATCTAATTTGGGCTATTAGTGCTGCCAGTTAGCAACTTTCAAAAATAAAGAAATCTATGTAACCTAATAGTCTGAGTTTTACTGCTCTACAGAATTAAAGACAACTATTATTTTTGTGTATAATTTTCTTTGTACTCCCTACTATAGTAATACCGTGCCATTTTAACTCACAGACCAGTATATTAAATAAGTAAACACTTTGAAAACAATGCCAAATGTATGTATTCTATATATAAAACAAGAAGCATTATTTAAGTCTGCATAATATTTCACATAATTGTACAATAACTTCTTAACAAATTTCAGGGTAAAATGGTTCCACTCAAGTGATTAACTGCATAGCCAATTTCATTTTCTGGGGTGGCTAAGAACACACAAAAAAGTTAAAGCCATCAAAAATAAAAGAAATAAATCATAACCAGACTCTGATGAACAGAATGTATCTGAATTTTACTGGCATTCACACTTCCTAATATACCAATCATACACCCTCAGTTCAACTTCTCTCATTTAAAAGATAATTGGATGTTTTTATTCAGAAACCTAGTATATAATTTATGGACTACTCTTTTAGAACTTGAGTGAGATACAGAGAGGTGTAAAAAAAAGTAAACATATAAGTTTGCCCTATGTGGCTCTTAGTATCTTATTTCTGGCCAATTACTTGGATTCTTTTTAAGGCATGCTCACTTAAACTTTATGGCTGTCAACTTCTAATTGCTAGGAAATCAATACAAAAGTACAGCTAATTCTCATTATTCTGGTATGTATTCTCTATAAAATCTCTGTGAATACTGCATCAGTGAAGGCTGAATCGTTGTTCCTAGGAGAAAAACAGGGTTAGGTTCCTGTGTGCCTTTGGTCACAACATTTTTGCCAATTGATCAATATATAACCTTGTTTCACGTGTGTTTTGCTTAAAGATGCTGTATTTCACCTATATTGTTGATTCATAAATATAAAACACAGTCAACAGCACTGTAATTCATGCCCAAATGAAGATAATCTAACACATGTATTTTCTTTATAAGACACACCGCAGCCTCCTTGTACTTAGGTAGTACTGTGTGTGGGGCCCATTTAAACAGCAAAATCACCAACAAAAATCGCAAATATGGGAAAAATGTGGCTTTAAATAGACCATACAAACGACACCTGTTTAAAGCATGTAAGCTGAAATAGGATGTAGAGCACTGCCTTGTTGGACCTCAGCTGGCAACATGTGTTGGTTGACTCAAAATCTGCACCACTCTGCGTGTGTACATTGTCTGTGAATAACCATAAGCGCCACAAGTATGGAGTTCTAAGAGATAGCAATTTTGTAATTTTAGTGTCTGTAAACAATGATCAATTGTATATATGCTTAAACGGCACAGAAGATGCCAGCCCATGTAAATCTTGCTATAAAATTTAGAATACAAGGCTATATTTATTTAATTCCTTCTTAGACGTTGACATATTCCTTATAATCACGTACTATGCAGAAATAAAGCCATGGAAATGGAGAAAACCTAGAGACACATATTGGACTCACATGAAGGTAGATTATCAATCATATCATGCGTTCGCCATTTTACCTTCAAAAACTTCAGGCGCCATCCAAGCAGCACTCCCCTTGTTATTGGTCATATGTGTCTGAATGTCACAGGCTGTACCAAAATCACAAATTTTTAGAACTGTCCCTCCTGCAACCAGCAGTAAGCTGTTTAAAGAAAATAACATTCAAAAGTTACAAGGTCAATATTTGATTATACAATAAAAGAGACATTTGTAGTAAAGGAAAGGTTCCAAAATGAATGCTACCACTTAACTTTTGTAAAATGTTAACTGGTCACTAAAACAGCCTAATGGTTCAGAGGGACATCAGCAAAATGAATTGACCATAGTCTTGTTATCTTAGAGAGATTTCTAAATTCACATTTTGATGGCTCCATCTCTAGCTCCCCAATCTTTCCTAACCACAACTATAGCTCTGGCCAAAATAAGATATGGGTTTAAAAAACTTCCAGTAGGTCAACATTATGGCATCCTGAAATGGGCATTTAATCATAAATATGTATTAACTTTAAAATATCATCTAATTTAAAAATCAAAGTAAAATAGACCAATATAGAAAGAAAAAATGGTCTTCAACTTAAATGCCTTTATTTTGAAGATATTTCTTAAAATGTTCAATCCCAAAACCATTTTTAAAATTTCTAATATATGAGTGGGAGGAGTACAAATCTAGTATGGTTAAAATGACCTAATGAAAGATTTCTAGAAAACTTCCTGAACCTATGATTCTGACTTTCCTAGATGCTATAGCATCCATCTATAATCACTAAGTAGCGTACTAACAAGGTTTTGCTTTGGAGGACAAATAGAAATAGACATGAGTAATATAATTTGCATAATTACACTACAGTAATATTCAACAGCAGTAAATGGAGATTCATTCTAATTACAAATTTTTTACACTTTTTATATCTGAGATTATTTAGAAGATTTGTTCTCTTTTAGTCCAATGTGACTAAACTAAACCAGATGAACTACTATTTACATCTCTATACTACCAAAAATATTTCCATGATAACTCAAGCGAAAAGAATGCTACGTGCAATTTACCAGAATACACACTTTAGTAAAAAAGTTTCCCCTGTCTCAATGTTCTTTTTCAAACTTTTATAACTTTTACCCAAGAAAATTCCTTTATTTTATACTGGAACATTAAAAATACCACAGTTTTTCTGAGTAACTTTTATATCATCACTCCTATATTCATAAGACTTTTTTTTTTTTTTTTTTTTGAGTTGGAGTCTCACTCTGTCACCCAGACTGGAGTGCAGTGGCCGCTCCCGGCCACCGCAGCCTCCACCTGCTGGGCTCCGGAGATCCTTCCGCCTCAGGCTTCCAAGTAGCTGGAACTACAGGCGTGCGCTACCACGCCCGGCTAATTTTTTGATTTTATTGTAGAGATGAGGTCTCGCCAAGTTGCCCAGGCGGGTCTCGAACCCGTGGGCTCAGGCAATCCACTCACCTCAGCCTCCCAAAGGTACAGGATTACAGGCTGAGCCACTGAGCCGGCACTCATAAGACTTTAAGGCTTGAACATGACACTGAGGGGTCACTGAAATCTGAACTTAAATTATCTTTGTAGGTTTACTTTCTTTCCTACAATTAAGACTAAAAACACATTTTAACTTCTGATGTACATGTGAATTAACTTGCAAAGGTAAATAAAGTGTGCACACACACAGCTTGATACTATGTAAAACAGCTCACTAGATCATCAGAAGCTTTTTTTGTGTTACTCTGAGGAAACTTTCCTGACCACAGAATCCGTAGGTATTCCATTAATAATGAGATATAGCAGATATTCACATATATTAAACCGTATATAAAAGCATAGCCATTCCAAAGACTTCTTTTTCCCAGTACCTACTGAAATATCAATTCGAAGTCTAAAGTCCAACTTGTATACTAAGTGCTCCAAAGATGATTTACAATACAAATCCAACCACAGAGAGTCACAAGAAGAATGAATGACTTAAACAAGACCTTTTGTAAATATGTTAAGGATATTTACTAGCAAGAGGAGAATGCCTATCTGTAAATGATTTTTAGAAGGACATTTCTTCAACCTGAGAACATGGATTTAAAAAAAAAAGGAAACGACTTCCTTTTATAAGAAGTCATTCACATATTGTTCAATAACTACTCACTTATTACAAAGCACATCCTTAAAGTAGAAGAAAAGAGACACTTTTGGGTATTGCATCTGATGGTTTCAGGTTCCTCTAGGAAAAGAATGCTGTCTGTACCTGATGCTTGCCTATATCCTTTGACTCATTAGTCAATTTATTGCTGTATAAGAGCTATGATTCTCATAAGTTTGCTTTAATAATTTAACTCTCTGTTAATACAGTGGGAAAAAGACTATCCACGACTAGAGAAAAAGGGCTAAGTGACTTCTTCATTAGTTAAGCAAGTAGCTAAGATAATAGCCTCAGAAGTCAAGTCAAAAAAATTATATGTCATGAGTCTAGAGATTAAACATTATTCTGCCAGGGACCTGGGAACACAAAAACCAGTTTAAGACTGGGAGTAGACATAAGTTACACTAGCAAGAATAGTGATTCTAAGTTGCAACCTATGTAGACTGTATCAGATTAGACAAGACAGTGACAAGTTACATCCAGAAAGGGTGCTTTAATGCTTTACACCAGTATCAAGAGGATGAAAGAATTGAAGAGTATGCTGATTTTCTATGCAGGAACCTCTCATCTAGACAAATGTAGTGAGGTGGTGGTAGGGGACAGGGAGAAGGCATGTGGGGACTTTTTTACTCTGTCACAGGTGCATAAAGGAAAGAAAAACAGAAAAGGAAACATTACGTTTTACATGTATGTTTTCTTTAACTGAGTATCTATACAAACAAAAAACCCAAAAGGTTTATTAGCTTTTTAAAGCACGTATCTAAGGAATTTAAAAGTTTTTCAAAGTCTCAAGGAGTCACATTATGAAGCTATCCAAAATATTTTCAATTTTTACCCAGATGTCAGAAATGCTCTTTTGCTTTTCTCTGAAAGTGCCAATAATAATAACAATGCAGCAAATTTTTGTAGAATATCTACTATGTATAGACACCGTGACAGTTATTAGGGATACAGCAAGTACAAGTCAGACCTGTTGAGGCTCAAGGAACTGTCTAGGGGCAACATCACTTACGACCGGCACAAAATGAGATTTCTAGGTTAACAGATTCTAGAAGTATGCTAATCTAAGGTAAAAGTTATTAAAAATAAAAATACCACTAAAGACAACATCTAAAATACAAGCTCAGGTAAGTGACTAAATGATAAAGGTGAGTTAAACATAAACATGGAGGAGACCACAAAGAAAGAGAGAAACTCTTGAACAATTAGCTTGAATTAAGGAGGTGTGGGTGATGAGAGCGAGAAGGAGGAAGGCAGGGAAGGGTGTCACGTGATTAGAACTTACTTTGGTGGTTTCAGATCCCTGTGAATTAGAGCTTTGGGTTGCATGCTGTGAAGATAAGCCACTCCTTGGGAACACTGTAAACACCAACTCATTGCGTGGGCAGCAGTGTAATACGGCAATGGTTCAGCACCATGCAGCACTGCAAAAGAAAGGCACAAACTAAAAAGAACTTTATTGCATATAAGAAAAGACACAATGTGAATGCAAGCACTATCAGAACACACGACTGGGGATTTTTCCATATGCGCTCTGTGAGTCCTGCTTTTAATTATTTTATAAATAAAAAGATAAAAATATCGAATAATTATGAGTGCATAACTACCACATAATAATTTAACATTCTTATGTTATAGTCTATTAAATGCTATTCATACATTCAAGTAAAATGAACACATATTACCACATCTTTTCAAATTGATGAGGTCTTTCACATAGCAACATAAATTATGAGCAGTCTTTTGGCACACTGCTATAAGAGAGATGCAGAGAAAGAGTACAGAAGGAAACAAAACAAAGTATATCGAGACGTTTACAACTGTACTTTCTATAATAGCTAAAATCTAGATGTAGTTCAATCAAATAAAACGATGGGATATTAGATAGCCATCAACAATGATGCGCATGTGGGCAGTAAATACAAATAAAAATTTACACAAAATAACCCTAATTAGAAAATAAAATGCAACAATTTATTTTATATAACTGGTGACAGGCTGGGTGTGGTGGCTCATGCCTGCAATTCAGCACCGTGGGAGGCTGAAGGGGGAGAATTGCCAGAGCCCAGAAATTTGAGACCCACCAGGGCAACACAGTGAGATCTCATTTCTACAGAAAAATTAAAAAAGTTAGCTAGGCATGGTGGCATGCGCCTATAGTCTCAGCTACACAGGAGGCTCAAGAGAAAGGTTTGCTTGAGAGGCCAGGAGTCTGAGGCTGCAGTGAGCTGTGATGGCGTCCTGCACTTCAGTCTGGGCAACAGAGTGAGATCCTGACTGACTGACTGACTGACTGACTGACTGACTAACAAAAATGGTGCTGCAAATGACCAGACATTATGTAGACGGTTGGTACTTTTAAGGTAAAGGAGCTCAGTTCCACAAAGGTAACTAAATGATACACACAGTTTTCTTTCATTGTTAACAATTAAAATGTTCTATGAAATGAGATTTCACAATTTTGTGTTTTGCAAAGAAAAAATAAAGTAGAGTGAAATGGAGATACGGTTAAAGAGTTCTAAAAATGAGTAGACTCAAAGCTAAGAGAGGGCATAAAAAGAAAAATGTCTGAAGATTTTTAAAAATCTATTTAAAAAGCAGGGCAGACATGGGGGCTCATGCCTGTAAATCCCAGCACTTTGAGAGACCGAGGCAAAGGGACCACTAAAACCAGCCTGGGCAACAAAGCACAACCCCATTTCTACAAAAAATAGCCGGGCATGGTGGTGCAAGCCTGCAGTCCCAGTTACTTGGGAGGTTGAGTCAAAAGGACTGCTTGAACCCAGGGGTTGGAGGTTTCAGTGAGCCAAGACTGTATCACTACAAATCAGCCTGGGTGACAGAGTTAGGCCCTGTCTCTGAAAAGAATGAAATAAATTTTTTTTAAAAAGACAAATTTATTTTCCAAAAAATGCTTTTAATATAATGAAAAGTATCATCAATTTAAAAAATTGCTAGACCCTAAATTCCACGTACTAAAATTATAGTATCTTTTTTATCTTTTCATGTCTAATCTTCAGCAGATTTTTAAAATTACCTCCTTTTGAGACTCTGATAATAAATTGTGAGGAACAATAAATAACTTACAGTTTATATAAAAGCTTTCAAATTATTTTAATCCACTTCATAAAGACATGTCCAATGACACTCACCATTATATAAAGAGCCCCCTTCAGCATATTCCATCACAAGACACACCTAAAGGAAATACATACCAGAAAAATTAGCCACAGAGTACCAGCATCTTATGGCCCTTGAGAGAGCATTTAATTCAACCTCTTAGTTTTATAGATGCATTAAAAATCATTCTTTTGGCCCCTACTATGTGAATGGCATTAGAAGAAACAAAAAAGGCATCTATGAACTAAGACCTTGTCTTTTAAGAGCCCACTGAGTGAACACATATGTAAAAACATCATCACAAGACATCTGCAGGAGTTTCTCCAGTGCTAATAAGTAGGTAGGTGCTGTCACAGGGTATCAAAAGCCTCATAAGAAGATGAGGTTATTGGACAAGATCACCTAAAACAACTCATTCAACATACTGTTTTGCTAGAAGACTAGAAACAAATTAAATGCATAAAGTACAACAGTTCTTTCAGAAATACATCTAAGAGAGCAGATCAAAATAGATTCATAAACTATACACACACACGCCTGCCATGTAATTTCTAACAGACATGTGACAATGAAAAAGTGACCAACTTACTGGATTCAAGCAGGCTCCATATAGCTTTACGATATTGGGATGGTTCACACGGGATAACTGCCGAAGCTGAAACAAATTAAGGTGTCTTTTAAACAGTGATGACTTTTGAGGTACTAATTTCGTAGCATCATTAAAATCTTGTACAAAACACCCATTTATATCCTTTGACAATCACTATTTCCTATGTAGCAGGCACTGTGGTCACAGGCACTGGAAATACCAAGTGCCTACCCAGAATGACACAGAAACTCTGGTCTCTAGCTTATAGTTTATTTGGGAGACAGACATGTAAACAAATAATTAAAGCAAAGTGCAAAGTGCTATAAAAGGAGTTATGATCAAGGCATGAGGAGTACATAGAATAAGTTAATTCTGCCAAGAAATGTCAGGACATCATCCCAGGGATGGCACTGAGCTGAGCTAAGCCAGAAGAACCCATGTTAGCACTGTTATCATCCCATCTTCATAGCTACAGTTGAATAGTCTAGCTACTCTGCCTGGGGCCCTGGTGGAAACTTTATGGATACTGCATAACTATCACAACTCTGCAAGGTAGGTAATATCATTTCCATTTTAAAGATGAGATCTTAAAGTTAAGGTTCACAGAGGGTCGAACGAGCTGTTAACCATCTTATAGCTAGGAAGTGGTACAGCTGGGACTTGATCTTTGTTCTGACTTAAGCTGTGTATTCTTTTTGTCGACTTGCCTCCATTCCATTCCTTATCTCTTGAATCAATTCTCTTCTCTCCATTCCCACTGCCACTGCCATAGTAATTCCATTGCCTTATTAGTTCCAATCTAAACCACTATAGTAATTACTATAGTGCTCTCCTGGCTGGTCTCCCTACATCCAGTTTTAATCTTCCCCGATCCAGTGGTGCACAGTGAGGTCAGAGGAGGGTTTGGCTGTACTCATTTTGTTTGTTCTAGATCTTAAACATCTATTAAGGTATCTTCCCTTGACTCTACAAACTGCTTCTTGCTCTATTTATTCTTTCCCTTCTCCTCTCTTTTCTGCTCTTTCCCTTCTCTTCTTCCTCTCCTTCTCTATTACCTACATTATGCTGCTGGTTCATATTAAGTCTGCTAAGATCTCTAAAGTTTTATACTGTATGTTACTAGAAAGTTTTATCACTCAACAGTCAACATTTGTGGGTTTTTGATTCTAACAGAAGAATTAATATCACTATTTTATTTATTTACTATATAGACTTAAATGCTTATTATATTTCAACCTGCTAAGATTCAGCACTGACCTCCAGACAGTATAAGGGGAATCCCTAAAAGCTGGAATTTATTTATAAAAAATTGTGTATTTATTCTTGTATGTTTAAACTTCAGTCACCTTCAAAGTACTCTCCATTTGATGCAATACGCCTATCAAGATGCTTTATCCATTGCTCCAAACAGTTTTTGAACTCATCAATTTTGATGCCTTTTAGTGCTTCTGCTGTTTTTTGTTTCACCTCTTGGCAAGACATTTCCCCTTGAGGATTTTTTCATCCGGGAAAACAAAAAAAAGTTGCTTGGGGCGAGATTGAGTGAATAGGGAGGATGGGGCATGGGGATCATATAATTTTTGGTCAAAAACTGCTGAATACTTAGCATGGAGTGGGGCAGGTGTGTTCGTAAATCACCAACATGAAATGAGCAAATATGCTGAAAGTATCTCCAAAAAAAAAAAAATCACTGAAGCCAAACATAGCCTCTCACAACAATGTTAGCTGATACACTGATGCCAATGGATTTCTAGAACACTAACAAGCAGAGGAAGCCTGTATTCCAAGGGGCCTGTTCTCCAAAAAATAATTCTGATTTTTTTGGGGGGGTCACCCTTCGTAGATTATTCAAGCATTTATTCCTGCTCCCTCCCCAAATCCTACTAAGATGAAAAAGCTTTTTTTTTTTTTTTTTGTCTTTTAAAAAAATTTTTAAAGGTATAAGCCCAGAAGGAAGAAGAGAATGTGAAATGAGGAAACAGCACACATTTTTGGAGGCTGGAAAGCAAATAACTAGCAATATCTGAAACAGCAGGCCTAAAAGAGCTAGAGGCAGAGGCCCCAAAGAGCTAAATCATAAACTAGCAATGAGAAGCAACCAGATTTATCTTCCAAAACCTCCCAAAGGTTCAGAGGTGGCTGTGGTACTGGGTATCTGTGCAAGTGAACTAACACTAGGAGGGGCTGGGGGATTGCTTGAAAGTTAGACCCAAGATTCCTTCCTTCAAACAGCTCAATGACTGCCTCTCATCAGCCCAGCAGACGACTAGAGGTTGACTCTTTAGATAAAGTGTAATAAACAGTATTTGCATTGGGGGACACCAAACAAAAATGAAGGAATGAGCTCAAAGTAGTTATCTCTGGAAAGCAGAAAATTAGATGAGAGGAGACATAGGGGATTAAAGTTTTTTTTTCTCCCTAAGAATTCTTGGAGAATGATTTGATTCTTTAAATTATATGCATATATAATCTTGATTAAAAAATGTTTCCAAGCTATTATAATCTTTTAAACTCATGATTCCTATCATTTAACATACATGCTATTTCACACAGCTCTATGAAACTGCCAATATAACAGTATATGATTGATGAACTTATTGAAACCATAAATAAAAATCATGAATATGGCAAAGATGAGGCCAGACGCCTAGAGCATATTATTAGAGATCAGCTTTCTTCAAGGTGACATCAAACCATTCATCAGTACTTCTCAATTCATTTAGCCAATTATAAATCACTTCATCATATCAAAGTTAAATCCTCATTTCTCCATATTATACATTTAAAAAACTATGAAGTGTATTTTGGGATTATAATGAAATGAAAACAGATATAAAATGAGAAGCTATATAAGGTAGAGGCCACTTATCCATTGGTCAATGAGGTTAAATAGGACTAAAACACTGATTAAATTAAATACTACGAATATACAAAATAACATAAAGTTAATAAAATAAGGGATAAATCTGATAATGTAATCTTTTATCATTCTATCTCTAAGAGAAGCTGTAAATTTTCATGCCAAATGAGAAAAACCAAATTTGAAATTATTTCTTTAATATAATCTCATTTGAGTTTCTAAAAACACTAAGTTAAAACTGAATGCATAAAATTCATCTTCTTAATTTTAGATAATGGAAAAGCTTACCATTGTTTTTCTATTTTAAAATTAAAATACTATGCCTTGAAACAGATCTGAGTTCCATGGATGAGACTGTTTTAATTCAGGGATGAATTCATATATGTAAAGTCTCTTTTCTCCTAATTTTTAACCAGAATTAAGAGTGTGAGTGAAAAAATGTTTTTATGGCACTACCTTTGTTTGGTTCAAGCAAATTGCTGTTGTTCACATATACAAATAAAATGACAATTGAGGAACAATCTTTCAAAACATTAAATTCACAAAACATCTTAGGTGAAGAACTACACAGCAGAAATTACATCTCAACTTACCTCTACAATAAAAGCTTTCCTCTCAGATTCACTTTCTATTTGTTTAATAGCAACATCTTTTGCTCTCCACTTAGCTTTGCAAACTACACCAAAGGCTCCCCTTCCAACAACCTGAATTAAAAAAAATAAAAATAAACCAAAAGCAAGAATCAGAAGCAGACAGATCCAGTCAATATGCAACACAATCTTTCAGATTAAAAAAAAATTAGAAATCATCAGTATCTAGATTTGCTACTGAACAAATATGATTTTTATTAAAGTGAGGAGAAAATAAAATGCATAATTGTCTCTATCTTTGAAAGTTTATGGTCTAGACACCCCCATACTCTCAAGTAAAACCAAAAATAACAAACAAAAAAGACACATGAAGGCACAGGCAAAGTAAAGCAATTTGTTAAATGCAGAAGAAAATTAACACTGGAAGATGAATGAGAAGATGGAAGATGGTTGGGAAAATTTAAAAAGTAGGAACATATAAATACAATAAACATTTTGAGCTATCATATTTAAGAAGCTAAAAACAGGTTTTGAGTAACTCAGTAGGTATAGGGAATAGAGGAGAAAGGATACAAATACAGATGTTAAAATATTGGCCATGGTAAAGGATAGAGAAACTGTGACTTAAATGAAATATTGAGAAAGAAAAAGAAACCAACTACTGATACATGCTACAACATGGATGTTCAAAAACATTATGCTAAGTGAAAGAAGCCAGACACCAGAAGTCACATATTGTAAGATTCCATTTATATAAAGTGTCCAGAAAAGGCAAATCTATAGAGACAGAAAGCAGATTAGTGGTTGCCTGGGGCTGAGAGTGAAAATTAGAATTAACAGTAGCAAGTGTGTGTGTGCCAAGGTGAAGAAACTGTCTAAAAGCTAATTTATGATGATGGCTAACAACTTAGTAAATTTGCAAAAGTCACTGAACTGTGCATTTCATGTGCGAATTTTGTGATATGTAAACTATATCTCATTAAAGTTATTTTTTAAAGTTATAAAAATAAAGATCAATCATGTATCATATTATTGTTGAAGTGAACTGGTGGGTGCCACACGGGTTCACTGTTCTCTCATGCTGTTCTATTTTTACAAATGGTTGAAATTTACCATAACATAAAAATAACACCAGAACAAAACAAAAACTAAGAATAGCTTTTGAAACCTGTTAGAACAAAATCGTCAGATTTATCATTGAAAAGGGCCTTGGTTAAGTGCCATCTACTCCAATCTCTCAACTTCCAATGTATCTAAGCACTCTACATCAAGGCCTTTTTATTAAGCGAATGATCTACTTCTATATCACCTATATATGTAGTTTCTATGTAACAGGCACTGAGTTGATGCTTTGCATATATGCTTTATTTACACAGCTCCAGGAGGCAAGTACTAATAACGCTAAGCTCATTGTACAGACGAAGCACTTAGCTTTAAAGGAACAAACTAATTTGTCCAAGGCTTTATAGCTAGCAAGGGGTGAGATGTAGTCTGATGCCAGGTAGTCCCAATATTACTAATCCTGATGTGTAACATACATAAAGTCCTTCATATATCAGAAAGTAGAAGTTATGTCTTCCCTTGGAGAAATCTTTTTAGACAAACTTACATGAAAAAATTCCTGGCACAAAACTCTTCTATAACAAAGCTGACTATAGCTAGAGTGATCAAATGATTTATTATCTATATTGGGACGCTTTGCAGGGCAAAAAGGGGGTACTAATAATAACTGTACCAGGACAGTAGTTGTAAACTGAGACATATGGCCACTCTAGCCATAGCTCAAATTCTACTTCATGAATCACATAAAGTAGTATGAACATTCTCATACTGCTCAATTATAAAGTCACTCAAATTGTTAGTTAACATTTATTAAATGTTTACCATGGGCCAGGTAAGATCATTGTTTTTCATGCATTAACAAATTCACTCCATTTTAAAGGCAAACAGAGTCACACGCTTGCAACTTGCCCAAGGTCACACAGGCAAAAAAGTATTCAGAGAAGCCAGGATTTGAAGCCTAGAGCCCAAAATGATCACTATAGCTTGCATCCATCACTGGCTTAAAGGAACCAGGGCCTCTAAGAACAATTGCAAAGTAGGTCAACATCTCTGGTAGCAGGTCTTTCCTTTGGTTAACTTCTCCTTTTACCTTTCCTAGCCCTGGATATTTAGGGTCCTCCTGCCGGTTAGGCTCTTGCTCTCCTTCACAAGTAAGACAAAGGAACCAAGATCAGTCATTTGCACTTGTCACTCAGTTACTTTACCATGCAGGGGTATTGGCTACCTGGTACCATTAAAATACAGGAAAGAACACACTGAGGCTCTGGAATCCAACAGACTTGAGTCTGAATGTAGGGCTCTGTCTAACCATTAGCTATTATTGCTGAACAAGTTTGAATTTCTATTTTCTCAAGAGTGAAATGGAGGTGCTTACATTTTCCTTAGTGAGTATAGAGTTCATAAGTTAAAACCGGGTATTTCCTTAAATACTATAAAAGAACAGTTAAGTGCTTAGAGTTGGGTGTAAATCAGTGTAAAGAGCAATAGTACTCATTTCTGTCCCAATAAACTAAGATGAAAAGCAAACAGATCCTTAAAAAGTGTCAACTTTATGATAATAGCTAAGAAGAGATGCACGGAGGCCAGCCTATCTATTGATATTACTATTAACTATGAAAAGATGAGTATGAATTTAACATATTCTTTAACCATGTATTTATAAATATATCAAAGCAACCAGTACTTAATAGGACTCCTCTTGTTTCATTTTTCTAGTCTAAGGAATGTCCATGCAGGGATTTCAAACATTATCTATAATTGTGAATCATGTACTTGTTACAAAAATTCATTTGACTATACGTGATCCACAAGTGCCACCTAGTGATGAGAAGATAGCTGACTCTGAGCTTTCAACTTAAAACCATGGGAGGCAAAATGTGGCCCAATGAGGACATAATACACTTTTTCTTTTTTGCTTGAGAAAGCAATTTTCCAGAACACCCTAAAACACGAATCAGGCACATTCCTGTAAGATGACAGTCCATGGCCTCAAGAAGTCCCCACTCTCCTTAGGACCAAAAGATATTTCACATGCATCATGAATAATAGCATCAAAGATTATAATAAAGAACAGTGAAGTTTTCCAAGGTTGTACAGAACTGAAATATCTGATAGAAATAACTGCTATGAATTCAAAGGAGTAAGGTATAAGCACAGAGTAATGCTTAAAAGAATTAAATTTCTGTGTACCAGAAAATGACTTCCCAGTTTTTTTTCAAATGGCAGAAAATGTAGAGATATCAAGTGTGAGAAGGAAAAAAAATACATAAAGATGAACCCTTATCTTCATGGGGTGAAAGTGAGGTAGAGAGGACATTTAAGACTAAAAAATAGTATTTACAATTTTTTAATCATTTACCAAGTAAAGAGAACAAAAGATGAGAGTTTACAATGGAGGCTGAAGAACGGCTCCCTTCCCTTTCCAGGACAGGTTTAGAGATTCAAGAGCAAAAAGGACTTATGCTCCAGCTTTTCAGAGATCCCAGGAGCAGACAGCCTTACGGAATGTGCTTTGCAAGCACGAGAGGCTACAAAGAAGTAAGAATAGTGGCAGGGAAAACAGGGAGGGAGGCCCTACCCCAGGCTCCCTCAGCCCCAGCAAAACATGAAGTGATCCAGAAAAAGTCTTGCCAAGAGAAAGGTAACGTAACTGAAAATTGAAGAGCCTTCTGACTGCAGGAAGGATGCTGTTGTAGGGCAGAGTGTTGAGACCTATGTCAAAGGCTGTGGGATGGTACTCAAGCAGAGGGGGCTTAATGAAGAACACAGTGGAGAGTCAGAGGAACACTGAAAGACAAGGTGAAGGCCTGGTCAGCAAACAGGGAGAAACGGGTAAGATCTACCTTCAAGGGGTGCTAAAGGAATGATGCACTTCATCTGTTTATTCCTTAAACCAATAATTCTTGAGTACCTACTATATCCAGCTACTGTGTGGGATATCAGAAACACAGACAAAAAGAAGACAAAGGTCCTGATCTACAGAAAATGCACTTTCTTTTTTTTTTTTTTTGAGTTGGAGTCTCACTCTGTCGCTCAGCCTCGACCTGCTGGGCTCTGGCGATCCTTCCGCCTCAGCCTTCCAAGTAGCCGGAATTACAGGCATGCCCTACCACGCCCGGCTGATTTTTTGATTTATTGTAGAGATGAGGTCTCGCTGCCCAGGCGGGTCTCGAACCCACGGGCTCAGGCAATCCACTCACCTCAGCCGCCCAAAGGCGCGGGATTACAGGCTGAGCCACCGAGCCCGGCTGAAAATGCACTTTCTAATGTGTGTGGAGGAAAGGGAGAAGAAGAAAAGACAATTGATACGCACACACAAAAGATGAACGAGAAAAATATCAGACTGTAAATAAGTACCATGTAGAGAACACCAAAAAATAAGATGCTATGACAAAGAGACTAGTGGCAGCTCCAGGATGGGTAGTCCGAGAAGGCCACCTGAGACGTTGTTAACCTGATATTAGGATGACAAAAAGCACCAACCAAAGATCAGGCAGAAAGAAACACCTAAACATCCTAAGGGAAAAGAAAACCCCACTTCCTTATTCAACAATATTTAAACTTCATTTATGGGCTAGGCACTATTCCAGGCACTGAAGATAGAGCAGTGAACAAACCAAATTAAAATCCTTGTTCTTGCTGTTTATATTCTTGTGAAGAAAGACAAAGAGGGAGATATATTCTAAAACTATATATATACCATTTTAGAAAATAAGTGTTCTAAAAGGAAAAGCAGATAATTATGTGCATATATACACATGGATGCACTCCCCCTCACCCCAATTTTAGACAGGGTAGTCACACAAGGCCTCATTAAGAAAGGTGACAACTTAGTGATGATCTAGAGAAATACTTAGAATGGCTGGTGTGGCTGGTGCATTTGGGAGAAGGGAAGAATGATGTAAGATAAGGCTGGAGGGACGGGCAGAGACTGGATCCTGAATGGCTCTATGAACAATGAAAAAGAGTTTAGCCGGGCTCGGTGGCTCAGCCTGTAATCCTGCGCCTTTGGGAGGCTGAGGTGAGTGGATTGCTGAGCCCACGGG